CCAGTGAGCGGGAACCGGTCTGTATGTGGGATCCGAACCCTCGGTGGGAGCGCCTCCACGCCTCCCAAGCAGCGCACCAGCGCAGTGCGCCACCGGGCCGGCCCATTGAGTTAGTTTTTATACATGGTGCAAAGTTTGAATCAAAGTTTATTTTTTTGCTCAGTTGTTTCATCCACTATTTGGTGAAAAGACTATTCTTATCATACTGAGTTACCTTCGCACCTTTGTCAAAAATCATTTGCCCATATATGTTCTATTAATATAGTGAATCACACTGATTCATTTTCAAATGTTAAGCTAACTTTGCATTTCTGTGGTAAACTCCTCTTGGTTGATTTTTAAAGTATACATTGTTAAATCCAATTTGATAATATTTGTGTAAAATTTCTGCATCTGTATTCATGAGTGGTTTGTAGTTTTTTTGTTTGTTTGTTTGTTTGTTTGTTTGTGATGTCTTTTTCCTGGCTTTGTTATCAATAATGCTGGCCTCATAGAATAAGTTGGGAAGTATTCATGTTTTTTAGAGTTTCTGGAAGAGGTTCTGTAGAATTGATATTTCTTTTTCTTCATTAAATGTTTGGTAAATGTTCAAATTAAGCCCTCTGTACCTGGAGTTTTCTTTGTGAGACTGCTCTTAACTACGAATGCAATTTCCTTAATAGATGTATGGCAATTCAGATTATCTATTTTTTCTTGAGTGAGCTTTGGTAGTTTGTGTCTTTCAAGAGTTTGTGCCATTTTATCTAATTTTATATTAACATAAAATTGTTCATTCCCTTATAATAAATATTATATCTACATATAATCACAAAATTATAGAAAAGTTTCAAGTATAGAACTGAGAACATTTTTTCTCTTAACCATTTGAGAGTCAGATGCTGACCTGATGGCCCTATCACTGCTGATAACTTAAATGTGTAAACTGTATGTATACATACAGATAAAGTGTAGAAATATTCCTACAAATGAGGATGTTGTCCTACATAATCACAATATAACCATCAAAATCAGGAAATTAACACTACTATGTTGCTACCCTCTAATCCTCAGAGCCTGTTCAAATTTTGCCAATTCTCTTAATAACGCCCTTAATAGCAAAAGAATTATATATTGTATTTAGTTGTCATGTTCCATTAGATTCCTTCAGTCTGGAATTTCTCCAGTCTTTTCTTGACCTTTTTGATCTTGGCACTTTTGAAAATTATAGGCCAGTTTCTTTGAGCATCTTCCTCAATTTTCATTTGTCTGATGTTTTCCTCACGATTAAATTCAACTTATGCAATTTTGGTAGGAATATCACAAACATGATGCCGTGTGTTTCTTACTGCATTCTATCACATGACACACAGTTTTAATTTTCCCATTATTAACTAATTCTGGTTTTTTCCTTTTTGTGATTATAGTGTACTTTCCTTTGCCAGCAATGAGAAACTCACCGACCACTCTTCTTAATATATGAGGGTACTTCAAAATTTCATGTAAAGGGTCGGCCCCGTGGCTCACTCAGGAGAGTGCAGCACTGGTAGTGCCGAGGCCACGGGTTCGGATCCTATATAGGGATGGCCGGTGCGCTCACTAGCTGAGCGTGATGCAGACAGCACTGAGCCAAGGTTTGCGATCCCCTTAATGCCGAGGCCACGGGTTCGGATCCTATATAGGGATGGCCGGTGCGCTCACTGGCTGAGCGTGATGCAGACAGCACTGAGCCAAGGTTTGCGATCCCCTTACTGGTCAAAAAAAAAAGTTCATGGAAAGATTCATATTATCTTTCAAACCTGTTTCTCCAAGAACTTTTTGAAGTACGTGCATATATGCTGAATAGATTGATCCTCCATGCCAGGCTGCCCCTCTCACATGAACACCCTCCTCACCCTGCCCTGGCGCTGACATCCCACACTGGGCCACCCTTTACCCTGCATGAACACGCTCTTCACCTTGCTCAGGTTCTGACATCTCACGTCAGCTCACCCCATCTGTGCATGCCCTACTCATCTGTCTGGGTGTTCTCCTTACTATAATCAGGCTCTCACACACCAAGCCTGGTTGCCTCTTTATAGGATATCCTCTTTACCCTTCTTGGGCTCTGACTCCTCACACAGGCTGTACCATGCCCTCATGGATGCCCCTTTGACCCCACTTGGGCTGACTTTTACACTTTCCACAGCTCCCCCCCACACCCCCCCAGCTATGGTGGCCTTACCTCACTCTGCCCCACCTAATAGTTTCAAGATGAATTGTTGGGTGCTGGAAAGAGAAGAGAAGAGGAAGGAAGAGGAAGGGTTGTACTTTTATAAAAGGTCTCTGGCTGCTCTATGGAGAACCGAATATAGGGCAGGGTTCAGCAGGGAAACCAGTTAGTCAAAAAAGGGCAATATGGCAGCTATTCGTGGAAAGGAAAAAGAGTGTCCATGAGTGTTGTATCTAGAACAGATGAGTTGTGGACTGTTAGTCTGGTGATTTTCTGTAGGAGCCTTCTATGAGTTTTGCTCCTGACCTGACCTGCCTCCTTGCCCATTTCTCTGCCTCACTGAGCTTGATGAACCTGTCTCCTGGAGATTCCCTATTGGTTGGGGGAGCGAAGGCTACTACTTAGAGGTACTTTATTCATCTGGAGGGCATAAGAAATGGAGGAAAATTTAATTTCAATCCCACTGAACCTAATTTACAAATTCTTGAAATAAAGGGCTCATGAGGATGACTGAACTGGAAATTGACTGAAGGAAATTTTACTCTTTTCAGTTCTGTCTCTGTGTGCCAAAATAAGACAGCATCCTTCTTCAATCCATCCATACCTACATATTTTCTAGATGAACTGGAAACAGTAGCTATAATACCCACTTCATCTAAATCTGTTAAAAACGGAGGGCAGTGGGGAACGCGACCACGACCTCCACGTGGAGATGTCAGGAGATATCAGATCAAATATGGAGGACATGGGTTACGGGATAGTCTTAGGAGCCTGGATGAGAGCCAGGGGATTTCCTTTCTAGCTCTTTTATCCTCTGGGTCTCAAACTAATCTTCTGTCAAATGCTTACAAGATGATGTCCACGTATCCTTTCATTCAACAAATATCTTTTTGCCAAGCATGTTCAAGACGCTGATTCTTGCATTCTAGAATCTAGAATTCTAGACCATTCTAGAATTTCCAGTATTTCTGAGCACCTCTTCAGTGTGGTTAGCCCTGAGTTGAGCCATGTGCACCCCTTTTGGTTTTTGCAGCCCCATCCTCCAGAAGCTCACAGGCTACTGGGAAGACAAGGAGTAATGCCCCTGAAGCAAGTACCAAATGGTACAAGACAGCAGATGATAAAGTACTAAAACGTACTCAGGGATCAAAAACATGCCGCCTGGCCCAAAGCAGCAACCTAAAAAGACGAAGTTAAGACACAGCGGTCTCTGCACCCGCCAACCGCTGAAAGTGGGGCCTCGGTGAGCCGTGGGCCGTGTGGTCGAAGGCGCGGAGACCCAGGGCCTGAGGGGCGAGCGGGACCGCGTCTTTCCTCCCACGCCCGGCAGCGGCTCCTTTAAGAACCAGGGCGGCCAGCGGGGCGGCTGGCGCTCACGTGACTCGGCGCCGCCGGCTCGCTAGCGGAAGCGGTCCTGCCTCTGCGGCCGGCCGGGGTCTCGGGGCGCCCCGCGGGCGGGCAGGCCGGGCAGGTCCGCATCCCGGCGCCGGGATGGTGCAGCTGTACAACCTGCACCCGTTCGGGTCGCAGCAGGTGGTGCCCTGCAAGGTGGAGCCCGAGCGGTTCTGCGGCGGGGGGCGTGACGCGCTGTTCGTGGCGGCGGGCTGCAAGGTGGAGGCGTTCGCGGTGGCCGGCCAGGAGCTGTGCCAGCCGAGGTGCGCCTTCTCCACGCTGGGCCGAGTGCTGCGACTGGCCTACAGCGAGGCGGGTGAGGAGCGGCAGGGCCGAGGGGCAATTGGGTATGGGCGTGGGGCCTCCTGCCTGGCGGACCCAGCGTGTAGGCAGCCGCCCTGAGTGGGGAAGGGTCTGTGGCTTCGCCGGGCTGGGCCGCTGATTGCTGAAGGAGCTCTGAGCTTTGCGTTGTCGTGACAACCGTAGCCGGGAGCCTGCGCGGGGCGGGGGGGCAGATGCCGAATGCTGCTTCTCACATTGCGTCCTTGCCAGAAAGGCCTGTGTTCGACTCAACCCAGACCCTCCAAACAAATACATACAAGTTCGAGCACATAGCAGAGTAGGAGAAGGGAGAGTAGTATCCTGAATCTCCAGGTACTCCTAGTTTCAACAGTTGTCACCGCTCATAGCCAGTCAGTCCTTTTACATCTATCTCCACCCACTTCCTGTCGGTTTTTGAAAGCTCACATTGTGGCTGGTTTTTTAATGTATGCAAATAGAAGTCAGGTCTTAAACTGCCCCGCCCCCAATGCCCCTTAAACAGCTGCAGGAGCATCCACTACACCAGAAATGTGAAGCAATATCAAGGGCGTACTGTGGGGGTGTGTATCTCTATTTTAGAAAAATCTAGCATTTAAAAATAGACGCTTTTTCAGATTACAGAAAGATTCACCATAGGATTCTTTTCACTGTCAAATACACTTAAGCTTTGATTCGTAGTTTCCAAGAGGGGTGTAAAGTGCAGTATTGACAGTGGAAAAGCCGATGGCTGTGATACTAACAAAGTGGTGAGCATGAACCTGGAGGGTTGGAGATCTCCCTCTAATCCCTGCTCTGCAGCTGGTTCGGTGTGAATTTATAGAAATCTTTGGGTCTCAGTTCCTGTTTTTAAAAAAGTAAGTTGAATTATTAGATCAGTAATTTTCAGACACTGGGGTTTTGTAAACCAGTTAAAAACTGTGGAGCTACCTACATACTATCTGACTATTTTGTCAAGTAAATATATCTATTTCTTAAAAATGAAAAGTCCTGCTATTTACTGTCACCATTATTTATGAAAGAAAAAGCACTTAGCACCTAACATTGGATACCTTTAGCTTTATGAGCAACTTACTATGCTGTCATTATTTTTTGTTTTTGACTAATGACAATAACAACAGGAGCTTGCACTGGTTGACAGACCCGTTTGAAATCCACTCATTAGCTCTGAAAGTTCCCTTTAGTAAGCAGGAAGATTGTGATCTGGTATTTCTTTTGAAATCCATCTCTCATGGTTATACCCTTTACAAAGTTGGTAGTTTTTCCTACTCTGTCCCCTTTCAGGCGTGAGTTCTCACCTTCAAGATTTCTGTTGAGTGGTGAACTTACCAGTTGCAACGTGTGTGACAGAGAGAGAGAGAGAGAGACTCATACACAGAGACAGACAGTATGTTTACGTGATTTGCTCCATTCTTCCAAATAGACCTTTATGCTAGAATTTGAAATGGCAGGCATTTTGTAAACCTCTTGCTTTCTTGCCTGTCAGTAGTGGTGATTTCTGGGATCCTTGGATTGCTACTACTTGTGCATAAGAATTACCTGGGGAGCTTTAAAAAAAATCTCTGTCCACACTCTCAGGGATAGAGTGTTAGTTTCTCTGCTGGGGTGAGGCCAGCATTGGGGGAGTCAGATGTTTAGCCAGGATTGAGAACCACTGACCTAGAGCCACACTGGCCTCAGGAGGCCGTGAGTATCATGGTAACCTCATTCATGAGCCTTGAAGAACAAAGGTGTTTTTGTAATCCAATTGGCTGCCTTAGAGAAAGTTCAGGAGTCATGTGGGATGGCATTAACATCATGGCTCATATAGCTCAAGGGTAACTTTTAGTTCATGGCTTGAACTTCATTTCCTGGGTTCAGTTCCTATTAATCACACATAACCACATAAGTAGGGCTGACTCCTGGCTGTGCTGATATCCAGATAATTTGTTTCCCACTGGAAATTGCTTTTCCCTTTGGCCCCTTCCTCCCATTCACAGTAACTGGGACATGGTATTCTTGCTCTCACTGCCCAGTGTCTTCCTCTGTAGCAAATTTCTCCCTGTCAGAATGTAAAGAATCTTTTATCAGCTGTGTATATTCACTGTAAATGTTTTGCAGATCCCTTGACCCAAGCAGAAAACGTTTTCAGGTGTTTTGTTTGTTTGTTTTTTTAATCTCTAATTAGCTGAAAGCTGTTCTCCTTTTATAAAATTTGAGGGCATTAGGGAGATATTTTGAAGAACAGTACATCATCGGTAAGGGAAAGTTAATTTAGATTTTGTGTGTGAAGCGAAGAAGAGGGGAGATGAGAGAACTCCCTGCTCCTGAGACAGAAAGACCTGGTGGCCAGGGTCAAATGTTCTGTGAGGACCTCTGGTGCTGGATCACTGTTTTGGGAGTGTCAGGGTGGTGGGGCAGGGAGGACAAAACCACATGGCATCACCTTTCCTTTAACACCAGGGTACTAAACCAGCCCTAGCACATTCACACCATGCCCCCCACCCCACCCCCAGCCCTACTGCCCTTCAACTTTTCTGACGTCTTAAAACATAATTTGATGCCTCATGTATTATTGTATTTCTGCCTTCTGGTGTCAGTTTTGTCAGAGTGCAGCCTTTTCCTTAATCTGATATATTACTGTTTACTGGGTTTGTGATTTTGCTACATAAAAGGGGAAGTTCACTTATTTTAAAAATCAGTATCTCTCAGTTTAAGAGTAAAAATGAAAATGATTTTTTAAATTTACTTAATGAAGACAGAAACTGTTGTAAAAGAAGTAAAATAAAGCACTAGGCATACATTCCTTAAAACATTTTAGTTTTCTTATAAAGGGTTACAACCTCCACACAGTCCTGTAGACTTATATATCCCTTCTAACAGTTTGAGAGGTAGCATTCTTGGGGAATGAGCATAGGCTTTTGAGTTAACCAGATCCAGGTTTAAGTCCCAGCTTAATGATTTGTTGGCTATGTTGCCTTAGGCAAGTTACTTAGCTTGTCTGACCCTCAGATTCCTGATCTATAAAATGGGGAGAAAGATATATATCTTGAGGGGCTGTTGTGAGGATTAACTGAGAGAACTTTAAACTCTCATTGTAAGTCCTGTCAGGTAAACACTTAGCAAGTGCTAGTTCATCATTTACAGAACAAGCCATTAATCCAAAGACGTATTTCAAGAAGTTTATGGAAAAATAGAATTAAAAGAATACGACTCTTTCCATGAGCTTTTTGAAGATCCCTCACATAACTTCATACGGGCACTATTTTTGCAGAATATAAACTAATTTGCAGAACATAAGCATAGTTGATATAGGCACATATTTATAGGTACATGAGTAAAAAGTTTTTATTATAACTAAACAAGTATTCTTAGTTTTGATTCATTTACTAACCTGAATATGACACCAAAAGTATAGGCAAACAAAAGAAAAATATATGAATTGGACTTCATCCAAATTAAAGGCTTTTTTTACATCAAAGGACCCTATCAACAGATTGAAAAGTCAACCCATGGAAAGGGAGAAAATGTTTGCAACTATATATTTGATAAGGAATTAATATCCAGAATATATAAGGAACTCTGCTATAGCTCAACAACAAAACAACTTGATTGAAAAATGCGTGAAGGACTTGAATAGACCTTTCTCCAAAGAAGGTACTTAAATGGCCAAATGCACATGAAAAGATGCTCAGCATCACTAATCATTAGGGAAATGCAAATCAAACCACAATGAGATACCACTTCACTTCCATTGGGATGGCTGTTATCAAAACAAAGCAAAAACAGAAAATAGCAAGTGTTGGGGAGGATGTGGAGAAATTGGAACCGTTCTGCACTGCTGGCAGGAATGTAAAATAGTGCAGCTGCTGTGGAAAACAGTATAGCGGTTCCTCAAAAATTAACATGGAATTACCATATGATCCAGCAATTCCACTTCTGGGTATAAACCCAAAAGCACTGAAACCAGAGACTTGAATGGATATTTGTATACCAATGTTCACAGCAGCATTATTCACAATAGGCAAACGGTGGAAGCAGTCTAAGAGTCCGTTGACAGGTGAGTGGATAAACGTATACGACTGAATATTAGTCAGCCTTGAGAAGGAATGAAACTCTGACACATGCTGCAACATGGATGAACCTTGAAGACATTATGCTCAGAAATAAGTCAGACACAAAGGAGCAAATACTGTATGGAAAAATACTATATAAACTATTTCTCTGGAACAGTGAGCAAACTTATGGCACCTGCAGAGTATATTTAGGCATTCTACCAATATCTCCAGGGAAGGAACAGGTTCAGGCTCCATCTCTGTGGCATCAAAGGAATGAGCATCAGGAGAAAGCCATCCTCCTCTTGAAGGCTGGATCATTTTGGAGGAAGGGGGAGCCTGGTCAGCCCAGTGAATGTCTGCAGAGAGGGGTAGCACCTGCTTCTTTGCTGCATATGTCTGTGAGAAGTCACTATAGCAGCAGAGTTTAATAGGTTATACATTTGGAAAGACTGAAGTTAGATCCCTGACTTATCCCCCCTCCGCACCCACAAAATTCTAAAGATTAAACATTTAAATTAAAAAACAAAAACAACAACAAAAAGAAAAACCTCCACTAAAAGAATATGTAGGAGTATATTTACAGAGTCTGGAAAGTATGGGAGACTGTTTAAGCAAGGTAGGAAACTCGGAACCCAAGAAGGAAAAGATACATCTCTGACTACACCAAAATTGTACAGTAAAAGATGCCAGGAACTACGTCAAAAGTCAGATAATAAACTACCAAAAACTATACATGGCTGACAAAGGGTTAATATTCCTTTTACCTAGAGAGCTGCAATTCCTTGATGAGAAAAACAAATCAACAACCTAATAAAAAATGGAAACTTACAGAAGAATAACTATACATGGCTGATAAATGGCCAGCATTATAAGAGATCTGGGAGATGTAAATTATAATAACCATGAGAGTCCATGTTTTTTCCCCCTCATGTAGAGTTCATGCTAGTGAGGATGTGGGAAAATCAGTCATGTTCAAACAGTGCTGCTGGCAATATGAATTTCTGTTATCTAATTATGGTAATCTGGCAATATTTATTAAAATGTTAAGTGCACCTGCCCTTTGGCACAACATTCTCACTTTTGGGAATCAAAGTCATTAAAACAACCCTCCTCAGTAAATAAATATATAGGTATAGGCCTATTTAGTACAGTATAAACTATAGTGGCAAAAAAAAAATGAAATATTTGAATATATATCAGTAGGAGAATTGTTGAATAAACTATGGCACATGTATATGTAGGCTCTTTTACAGATACTGAAAAGGATATGTCGATATGTAGACCTGGAGGGAAAGATTTATTGATAATTTTTAAAAGTTGCAGATTCTTAAATGAATTTAGTGTGATTCCATTTTGATTAAGAAAAAAAAAAGATGACAAAATGCCACTCTGCAATCTGTGTTTACATGAGAGGTGTTGAAGGGCACACCCCAGGCTGCATGTTAACATTGGGTCTTTGGAGACAGGACTACAGTGTACCTCTACCATTTTGACTTATCACAACAAATATATGTTACTTTTATAAGTTAAAAATCTCATAAATCAACAATTAAAAGAAAACTTGGATTTATATTTTGTTTATTATTTCCATCTTTGTCCTATTTCTCAGAGTTGTGACTTGTGGTAAAGGGAGGGGTTGAAGTGTAACTTCTAACCTCGAGTTCTGTAAATCACTCATGATTGTAATCAGTCACACTAATATTGCTGAACTCTGTGTGCCAGTGAGCTTTGTCGGAGCTGTAAGTGTAGAGCTACAGTAAATACTTATAGCTCATATGAGGAATAAAAAGGAAAATTCCTGTAAGTTATATGAATAATTGATAAGTTATCTTAAGATACTAAGATGGAGAAAGATTGTATTTCAAAACCTCAATGCCTAATGGCAGTTAAAAATAAACGCAAGATTTCGTTACTTAGGGTTTTGTTCTGCTCAGGCATTAATTCAGCCATTTGTGTTAGGGCTCATTAATAGTTCCATTTTGTGGTTGTTTCTAGTTGCAAATTCTGAGTATCTTATTTCCTTCTCAGGAGACTATTTGGTAGCAATTGAAGAGAAGAACAAAGCCACGTTTCTACGTGCTTATGTGAACTGGAGAAGTAAAAGGACTGAAAACTCTCGTGTGTGTATCCGAATGGTTGGGCATAAGGTGGAGGCACCCTTCAGTGAAACCTTGAGAGACCAGATGTCTATTATTGAAATGCCACTTTCTGAGCCCCCCTTATGCATTTCCTGTTGCCCGGTGAAAGGAGACCTTCTTGTTGGCTGCACAAATAAGTTAGTCTTATTTAGTTTGAAGTATCAGATCATTAATGAGGAATTCTCAGTATTGGACTTTGAACTTTCTTTAATTATACACATAGATAATATCACTCCTGTTGAAATTTCTTTTTGTGTTGGATATTTCGCTGTCATGTCGGAATTAGAAGTCTTAATCCTAAAACTGGAGTTGGACCCTAAAAATGGAGAGAGAGTTAATCACCATCCACATAAGACCAGCAATCCAATGAAACAGACAGAAGATGGTAAATAATGAATTTAATTTGTTTTCTTGTTTTAGGCATAGAGGAAACCTTCACCACTGGCAATCTAGAAGGGCACTAATATACATGGTGCCAAGCCACATTATAGATTTAGTTATTCCTATTACGTGTGATTTGGGTTTATGATCTGGCTGTCCATATCTTATTCTGTAGCATGTAAATATATTTCTACATATATTTTTAATAGAAGTAATGGAACAGCCACTGCTGGATGAGAAGTTTCAGGTCCTAGTTCTCATTTATTAGTTGCATGACTTTGGGTTAGTAATACCATCTGAGTTGCAATTTCCTCATGTGTAAATGGGAATGATAATACCTATTTTGTTGTATTTTATCAATTGTTGTGAGGAATAAATGAGCAAGTGCTAAGATTTTTCAAAACTATTTTCTTGTAAATGCATGAAATATATGTGTTTAAATAAATATAAGGATTTTATATTTATTTATAAGAAATAAAATTATATTTCTGTTTAATTGTTGGGAGGATGTGAAATCTAATTCTTATTCAAGCAGATAATAGTATTTGAAGTTGTTAGACTCTTAAATTTTATTTTTTAAGGCATCAGTAATGAAACTTCACAGCTTGAGTCAGATGATTTTGTTATTTGCCAAAAGCCCATGGAACTTCTTGGCGAAAAAAGTGAACAGTCTGGAGTATCTGTTACACTGGAGTCTACAGGATTAGCTGATGAAAAAACAAAACATTTCCACGTTCAGCATCTGCTCTATAGGTATTAGAGAGCTTTTTATTCACTAGCATTTAATATATGTGAACATGCTTAAAGTACATGAAAATTAGATTTCTCCATCTTTCTGTCTTTTTCAACTCACAGACGTTTTACTCCTGATATTTCGTCCTATGTCTCACCTGATGACATCAGGTTGCATTCCCTTCAGCTGCTACCCATTTACAAAACTGGTGAGTATGACAGTGCTGTATACTGCAGTGACAGGGACGGCTCTGGGCTGGGAGAGAAGACCAGCGTCAGTAATAGGTTTGGTTCTTCCACTGAGTCCCTTTGTGTCCCTGGACAAGTTCCTTAGCAAATACCTGCAAGCACTAGAAAGGGAAGTCATGTCTGCTAGGAGAAGTCATAGGGCATGACAGACCCTTTCTGAAATGATATTTCCCTTTCTGAAATGATCTCTAGGCCCAGAAAGGGAAATCAGAGCCCTGTTAGAGCTGAGTTTTATCTGGGTTCCAGCCAAGTATTTGACAAAGCTTCTTATAACGGCCTTGTGAGCAAGGTGGGAAATTGTGAACTGAATGGAAATTCATTTAGAGCAGTGGTTTTCAACCCTGCTGCACATTGGACTTACCTGGATACTTTTAAAAATGCTGAAACCCAGGCTGTACATACTGGAGATTCTGACTTAATTGGTCAGTTATGGGGCCTGGATATCAGTATTTTTTAAAGGCTCCCCAGGAATTTAATTGACACCAAGATTGAGAATTACCAATAGGCTCTGCACTTAGATGTTGTCTAGAAAAAGATAAATATTATTCGGATTAAATGTCTTTATAACTTCATTTTTTTTCCTTCCTTTTAGTAAACATTGAGTACCTACCATGTTGAGTGTTGTGCTAAATACTAGGGAATCAACAATGAAAAAAAGTAGGCAAAGTACTTTCACTTACAGAGTTAATCATCTAATTGGGGGAGGCAGACATTAATTGAATAGTCACAAAATGACGATTACACACTGAAATGAGTGCTCTGTGAGAAAGGAACCCCACTGTGAGATCCTATAACCAAAGATCCTGACCCCATCTTGGGGTCAGTGAAGACTTCCTGAGGAAGATCTAAAGGGCTAATTCGGCTGACTTGGGGATGGGAGTTTGTGCAGGCGAGAGGCTGAGAGCCTTCCGGGCGGAGGAAGCAGAAAAGGCTCCGTGGTGGGGGGGAGAATCTTATGTTTGAGGAACTGAGAGAAGCAAGACTGTGGAGAGTGGAGCCAGGGAGACAAGGCTGGAGACCTGACAGGGCCAGTAGCCATGTTAGAGGGTGAGCTCTCCATCCAGTGAGCTTCCCGTAGCACTTGGAATAAAAACCCCAAATCCATTCCATGGCCTACATGACCCTACCTCTGAGCTCATCTTGTGCCACTCTCACCTGCTCACTATTCTCCATCCACAGCGGCCTTACTCTGTTCCCCAGATATGCCGGCTATGCTCTTGTCTGAGACCTGCTGGTTGCTCTTTCTGTGCTTAGAACGTTCTTCCCTCAGATCTTGTATGACTGTTGCATTCACGTCATTCAACTCACAGCTCAAGTGTGACCACAAGGGACTTCCCTGACCTTTCAATGTAAAATCTCTCTTCTCCACACACTGTGGGGTTTACTTGTTTATTCTTCATCCCAATCCCCATCACTAGAAAGACAGGTCTGTGAAAGCCTTATCTCAAAAGCCTTGTTTTGTGCACTGTTGTATCCCTAAAACAGCTGCACTTAGAAGGCACCTGATGAATATTTACTGAATAGACAAACGAATGAATGAGCAGTGTGTATCTGAGCTCGTCCCTGATGGATGAGTAGAATTTTTAGAAGATGGAGATTTTGGTAAGATACTACATAAAAGGAACCACCATATACAATGTATAAAATTATCATGTGTGTTTGGAGATTAGTGAGCGTTTCTTTGTGGCTAGAGCACAGTCAAGTGTAGGAAAGAAGAGAAGGAAAAAAACTGGACAATTGGCTTTGTGCCAGTTGTGGAGAGTACGAAATTGTACTTCTGATATTAATGGGTGTCCTTGAAGGGTGTCAATCAGAGGAGCACTTTATTTTAAAACTGGCTACAAAAAATGTCAAACACATATAGGTAGAAAATAATACACTGAACTCACCCTGTGAACCCTTCACATGACTTCAGCAGTGTTGCTTATGACCATTCCCTGCTCCATACCAGATTATTTTAGTGGCAATCCCAGGGTTTATACCATTTCATCCATAAGTATTTTAGCATATGTCTTTAAAAGAAAAGGATTCTTTTACTTAAACCCAAAATACTATTACACATTTTTAAAAAATTCTGTGATAGCAAATATTTAGCAAGTGTTCAAATTTCCCTGATTGTCTAAAAAATTTTTTCTACAACTCATTTGTTTGAATCACATTCCAAATAAAGCTCATACACTGCGATTGGTTACTATCTTTTAAGTCTCTTTTAATATAGGCTCTCCCTTTCTCTCTTTGCAATTTATTTAGCAAGAAATTGGACTCTTACTGTAAAATTTTCTATGATCCGAATTTTACTGATTGAATCCTCACAGTGCCATTTAACATGTTCCCGTACCCACTGTATTTCTGGGTTAGTTGGTAGTTAGAACTAAGTAGTTAGATCTAGATTCTCACTGTCCAGTATGGTAGCCATTAGCCAGATGTTGCTATTGAGCACTTGAAATGTGACTAGTATAAATTGAGATATGCTGTAAGTGTGAAATACGTATTAGATTGTGAAGGCTTTATACAAAAAATATTTAAAACATCTCATAAATTCTTTTGTTTATTATTCTAAATGGTAATATTTTGGATATGTTGTGTTAATACAGTATTATTAAAATTCAACTTGTTTCTTTCTACTTTTTAAAATGTGATTACTAGAAAACTTTAAATTACAAATGTGGCTCACATATTAACAGTGCTTGTCCAGACTCAGGGGTGATCAGATTTTTCTTTTTTTTTTTTTTTTTTTTTGGCACCACAAGTAGTATTGAGTTTTGCTGGAAGGCGCATGGTATCTGGTTGGCTCTTTTTGATGTTAATAACCATTGATATCATTACCTAGATCTGTTAATTTATTAGGGATGGCAAAATGGCGATATTTTAATTATATTATTCCTTTTTCATTTCTTACTGGCATTCTTCTATAAAGAGCAACTTCCGCTTAGCAACTCTTTAGTTACCTACTGATGCAGTTTGCATAAAAAAGTCAAGATACTGATTTTTTTCCTTTAATTATTGGCTTTTACAATATTTATTTCTTTTATTTTTACATGCAGGTTTTCTTACTTCTGATGGAAAAAATTTGTCTCAGGAAAAAGAGTTGCTGAGTCTCTTTTGTTTTTTCTCATTACCACACGTGGGCTATCTCTACTTGGTTGTCAAATCTGTTGAATTAATGTCAGTCTACCAATATCCTGAGAAGTCTCAGCAGGCAGTGCTTACACCACAATTTTTGCACGTCATCACAAGGTACCGTTTCAGTGTCACTTGCTGGCCTTTGAGTCACGTATGTTTCTGTAAGTTTTTGAGATGCTGCCTAAGTCTTTAACTGAGAATTGTGTGAACTAGTATAGAGCACTGTAAATTAATGAGTTACATCTGTCTTTTCAAATCCATCTTTTGATGGCCCATACCTCCATTTTCAATATCAAAGATTTAGTCTCTGGTTTCGTCCTTGTTTTGTTTCTTTAGATTGGATGGGGATCCTTATAAGGAAGTATAAGATTCTTCATGAAGGAAGATTTTTGTAGGGAGTTCTAATGAAGAGTCAGCAGGGCCAATCAGGGCATCTTCTTAGATTCTTTTTTAGATTTCCTAAAATTTTTTCTCAATGCTGCTATATTCTTTCAGTATGAATTGAGTTATTACATAATGGTTTAGAACTATGAAAGGGCCAGAAAGATGATCTGGTTCTATCCCCTGATTAGTATACTGATGGGGAAATAGTCACAGAGAGGCTGGGATTGGCGCAAGTTATGTGACTAATTAGTTGGCAGAGGCCTTCTAAGTTGCTTTACCCTAGTATGCTGGCATGTGAAATGGGTTCCTGAGCAGTTTGATCTCATTTCCTTTTATCCCATGAGTAAGTGATGCTTTTGGTTTTATTTCCTATTTTTTGGGCTAAGATTATGTTCAAGTTACTGCCTTGGGCCAAGAAACTAATAAAAGATATACCATCTGCTTTCTAAAGCAACAATATAAGAGAAGGCCAGAGATACGTACAAGAGGCACAGACACTAGGAGATTTTTGAAAAATGTCTTAGGACTTCAAGAAGGTGCTGTAGGCACTGTGAAGAGAGAAATTACTTCTGGCTGAGTCCATGTGGGGAAGTTTCAGATAGGCAGTTGTGTTCAAAATGAGGCCTGAAAGCTAGTTAGAATTTTGACTGATGGAGATTGGGAGAAATGGGCATTATTGATGGAGGGAAGACTATAAACAAAGCCTACATCCAGTTTTTCAGGAATGTCTAATAATGAATTGCACAGGACAGTGACTTCTTTTTTTAACTGAGTGAGTATCAGAATCTCCAGGCACTGGAGTGTAATTCCCCCTGCATCAAAGCCCCGTGGAGATTCTGATGCTCACCCCTAGTGAAGGTGCTCCCCTCTCCTCCTGATTTCTGGTGTAAGGACAAATGTCACTGATGGGAATGTTCTTCTTAAGTAAACGGTGTGGAGGTGGTTGGTTTTCCCAATTTTCAAAGTGTCGTGTAGTGATGTTCTTTAAATATGAAGAAGCTGAAAAGTAGTGGGAATAATGCTTGAGAGATAGCTCAAGGCTTTGGAAATTAAACTAAGGAAGTTTTTAAGGTTTTGACCAGAGAAAGGGATGTGATTAGAGCATTGCTTTAGGAAAATTAATTGTGGCCATTAGGGAGGATGGGTTGAACACAGAGTGATAAGCTACTAGAATGGCCCAGGCAAGGATATTGAGGAGCTGTATTCAGGCAGGGCAATGCCAGTGAGAGGAAAAAGAAGGATGGATGGGAGCGGCTTCAGCAGGAGAGTTACAAGATTTGGTGACTGATGGGATAAGGGGGATGCAGGAGGCATGAAAAACCCCACCAGAGCTTTGAGCCGCTTTTATTAAAGAACGGAGGCTGGTATATTGTGAGGCGATGGAGAAGTTTGGTTTAGACGTGTGTGTTTGAGCTGCTTGTGGAATATCAAGAGGGAATGCTAAGTAGGCTTTTGGACACATCGGACTATAAATTAGGGTAAAGAGAAAAGCTGAGAAGTTTTATTACCATCAAAAAAGAACTGATTATCAAAGTAGTGAGTCTGGCCCCAAGAGTGTCTAGATAGACAGGGACAAATAATTGGAGAACTAATCTCTGGTAAAGGTCGTGTTTAGTAAGCAGGAGGAAGAAGAAAAGGATCGTTAAGATTGCAGAAGAACCTAGGAAATGATAGCATTTTGGAATTTAGGGAAAAGGAGAGGGAGAAGAAAGGAATAAAAATATTAATTTCTGTCCCAAAATATTGATGCAAAATACTGTCCATCTTTTCTCCATCTGATTGCATATATGTGCAGGACACTGAGAATTTAGTGAGTGGACCCATTAGATTTTTCCTCCGCTTCTGTTATGAATAAGTCATGAACTAATTTTAAGTGTCAACTCCAGAAAACATATTATTATGAGGGTTTGAAGGTACTTAAAATTTGTGGGTTTTGACTGCTGCCAGGTAGGAAATTATTGGAGCTTTTCTTAGTATAAGTACTAAAAATACTCTGACATCATTAAATTGACTGTGGGACCATGAGACATTAGGTTAGCAGTAGTTATATGTAAATTCAGATAAGGCTCCCCACCTCTGCTTTTAAAATTATATATTGTTGAACTAATTTTTTACATATTTTTTTATTTTACCCAATAGATATATATTTTATTATTTATTTTATTATTTATTTATTTATGACATTGAATTCTAATTCTCTATTTGCCTATCTCCGCCAATAGACTGGGGCTCTACCGGGTAAAGGAAGATGCCTTATTCATCGTTACCTCCTCCCTACCCAGCACAGTGACTGACACCCAGTAGGGACTTCATGAATGTCTGATGAGTGAATGGATGCTTACATTTTCACTTCCAATAAATATATATTTTAGAACTATCTTGTCCCATATGTTTGTCTTGAAAAGTTCCTTGAAGATTGGTATGTTTGTATACCTAAAAAAAGCAAGAGATTGTTTTTTTTTTTTTTTTTTTTTTGTCTTTTGTCTTTTTCCGTGTCCGGCAATGGATCGCAACCCTCAGTGTTGCCCCCGTACCGGACTGGGGACCGGCAACAGGATCGCAACCCTCGGTGTTGCTCCCGCGCCTCGCTCAGCCAGTGAGCGGGAACCGGTCTGTATGTGGGATCTGAACCCTCGGGCGGGAGCGCCGCTGCGCTTCCCAAGCGGCGCGCTGTAGCAGTGCGCCACCGGGCCGGCCCAAGAGATTGTTTTTTTTAAGAATCAAAGAACAATATAAAATCATGTAAAATGCCAACCTTATAGAAATATATAAATAGGAAACCCCCCATTTCCCCATAATCCTGCTCTCCAGAACCAACCACATCAACAATTGGTGTATGCATATTCATCCAACTATTTTTTTTATATATTACATTTACTACTATAACTTATTTTTTACAGAAGTGGATCATACGATGTACACTATTCAGCAACTTGCTGTTTTACTTAGCAGCATGTCTTGGACATCTTTTCATGCCAGCACGTTGCAGTTTACTTTATTCTTCTCTTATACATCTGCTTAGTATTCTAGCAGTAGCCAACAAGCTAGGTTACTGTAGGTGGAGGTGAGTCAGAGCACCCAGCCTTTTTATCTCTAGAACCTAAAGGTCTTTTATCTTTCTGGTCAGAGCTACTCTCAGTTGTCGTTCTGGCCCCACTGCAGCTGCCTTTTTTGCTCCCCACTTCCTTGGTTTATTTCCCAAGGTTGCTAACCGTACTCCAGATTTGTAAATGGTGATCCTGCTGTCCTCGGTATTGTCATGATTCCAACGGTTATTTCCCAGAACTTTGTGGAATTGGGCAGAGATGGCAGTGGACTGAGGCTGAAGTGGCAGCACCAACAGATGGAGAGAGTCCTGACTGAAAACCTCTTTCCTGCATTGTGCAAAGCCTCCCAACTGAACGTGTCAGGATGCCTTTCCTTATGGAAGAAGTATTTCTTCTACTTTAATATTGCTGTTAGGTTTGCTTTAGTCCTTTATTTTTATTTCAAAAAGTATACTTTTACTTCTTCTGCTTTATAGTCTGTTTTTAAAAATCATTCTTGTGAACACGCTGCAAGATGGGTTTTGTAGTAATTTCTAAGTTAATTGTTAACACTCTGATATTGACATTAAAAACAGTTAACTTAGATAATAATGACAGATGACAAGCAGGCATGTATTATGTAATTACTGTGGGGTCCTTAGGTCCTTTTACTGTGCACAGGCAGCCTGGGGCTATGGAAAGAGAGGAGTGAGAGGAGTCAAGAGACCGGGGATCTAATTTGCTCTCTCCAGAGAAACCTTGGACCGGTCATGAACTTTCCATCTAATCTTTAATCTCTAATCTTTAAAACGAGCAGCTAGACTTGGTAATTCTGAAGATTCCTTCAGAGAGTCTCACATTTTCAGTCTACCATTGGATTTGTGTTTGCATGGTCTGTGTGTTGCCCACCATAATCCAGGCTGAATTCCATCCTGAGATGAGTAGGGTAGACCAACAGTCAGGAGTGGATTCTAGTCTTGCCTTTAAATAGAACCTTTGGGGAGACCTTGGGGGCATCATTTTATCTGTGAGATGAGGACATTGACCCAGATCCATAGTTCTCAACTAGGGGTGAATATCAGAGTCACACATGGAGCTTTGTGGAAATATACATGTCTAGGTTCAGCCCCTAGAGGGTCTGATTCAGTAGGGGTGAGGTGGGACCGGTATATTTTTTAAATAGTCCATAGGAGTTCTGAGGCATTCTGCTTGTTGGGAAGCAGTTTAACTCACTGAACATTTGACACATATTTGAGTCTTCTCCCACCCCCTGCTCCGTTTGTCTTGAAACCCTCCCAACTGTGGGCATGTTGGTTATTGGCCTCCATGTCACTCAGTGGCCTCTCCTCTTCCTCAGTAACAACCTGCAGTGTTTCACAGTGCGGTGCAGCGCAGCAGCAGCCCGTGAGGAGGACCCATACATGGACAACACCCTGAAGGTTAGAACTGGCTTGCGATTTCAGTGAGACCTTAAGATCAGAAAGGAGCACGTGAATGCTTGCATTTTCTCTCTTGGACCTAAGTTTGGCAAAAACTAAACATCTTGTCTTATTTATTGAATTAGAACTTTTGGATGTAAAATAGTAAGCATTTTGTTATTCACAGTTTGGTTGACAATCTTAAAAATAACATTGCTTTGAAAACATTTCATGCAGGTTTGTTTAGTTTTTAAAGTTTGGTAAAGAATCTGTATGGTGTAACTTGAAAGAGAGCAGTTCACGACTATAGTATACTCCAGTTTTTTTTTTAACAGAAATATTGGTGGCAATTAAACAAAGCTATTAAGAAAGCAGTACAGAAATCAGTATACTCAAGAGCACAAAATTGAATAAAATGCAGTAAAATGATTTATACTGTTATCAGATATGACTATAATTATTTCATCATTTTACAAGCCTTCAACAACCTTCCGTACTTAATCTAAGAATTAATGGATATGCTAGATCAATAACCTCATTTTTAGTGAGAAGTAATGTAGTCTCTGAAAAGCTCTTGACTACAAAATAAACATAGGCAATTTTATGATGAAATTCTATATTTCCTGTATTTCCTGACCTTGAATTTCTGTTCTCAGCAATATACTATTCATGCTTTTTCACCTCTGAAGTATAAGCTATTTGAATGGATATTTGTTATGCATGAACATGCTGCAAGAAACCTCCAAATTATGATGGCCTATATTTCAAAAGTTAGTTTATGTCTACCTGAAACCTGCTACCTGGAGTGCCTTTTCCCAGAAAAATAAGTGTTCAGTAATGATGGTTACCATAACAAACCAGGCCCTATATAGTGCTAAATGTATCTGAGATACTTTTCCACAGTCAGTCACTATTGCCCAGATTGTGATATGTGATAGCATTTTATGGAAAGCGTGGTCTCTGAGTTCTCAGTAACTCTTTTTTTTGCCATAGCTCGCCTGTGATTTTCTGTTGCTGACCAGGCCTGTTGCCTGCCTTCAATCTCTTGGAAAACCAGAATCATAGATTCACCATGCCTTTCCGTGTATGAGATATACACAGAGACTTTTCAAGAGATTATTTTTAAAATAAGGGTTATTTCCTTAGTAAAAATGGAAAGGTGACAGAGATAAAAACAAACAAACAAAACTTTCATTCTTTGTCCCTCTCTTTTTTCTCCACCTTGCCTTTTTAGTTTTCAGAAAGATACAGTCTTACACAGGGGTGAAGGTACAGCTTGGAGTACATAATAGATTGAAGTAGGATCAGTCTCCATTTGGAAAAAAATCAGAATTACGTCTCTCTTCAGAGTCATAAAACCAAAGGGAAAGAACAAGGAAGAGACGAAGGGGAGGGAAGAGGAGGGGTCGGCAGCTGATGGGGGGTGCTACTCTCGAGGCCACTGGACGTGGGAGAGGGACGGCAGTGATGATCATACTTTATGGCTCCCCCTTCCCGGAGACTCCACCAGTTCTGAAACCCTAGGTAACACTTGCATGAGCACACAGTTATTTAGCCCACTCGCTGACTCAGGCTTTGGGAGCTGTGAGTCTGAAAAAGTTTCGTAACCCCAGAGCCTGGTCCAAAGTGCATGTGGTCTTTATCTGCCTTTGTTCTCAGCCTTCTCAGCGCTAGCCAAGGCCACCTTAACTACTTTTAGGAATGAAAATATAGGTGGAGGTGTTTCTCCAAATATTTTGTACAAGGAGACAATGAAGATGACCTCAGAATCAAAACAGCGTTAATGGAGGAGAGGACAGGGACCTGGCGGCAGTATTTTGTGAACTCCCAGAAAGAGCTCTTCCATTAATCTTTCTTATCCGTTCTACTTGAATTAATGGTCTCTGACAAGAACAGGAGCCCCAGTTTACCTGACATGCCCCAGCCTGTTGGCTAGTCCAGGCACTGTTCACACCTAAGGCGCTAACAGTTGGGGGCCATCCAAACATATAAGCATTTCTTTTTTTTTTTTGGTCTTTTTCCGTGTCCGGCAACGGATCGCAACCCTCAGTGTCGCCCCCGTACCGGACCGGGACCGGCAACGGGATCGCAGCCCTCGGTGTTGCTCCCGCGCCTCGCTCAGCCAGTGAGCGGGAACCGGTCTGTATGTGGGATCCGAACCCTCGGCGGGAGCACCGCTGCGCTTCCCAAGCGGCGCACTATAGCAGTGCGCCACCAGGCCGGCCCACATATAAGCATTTCTTACACATACCCACCCATACCCATTTTGTGTACTCTATCTACATGCAATAGAATACCCTTTTAGAGTGTCTGATTTTGCTTAGAAGCTCCATTTGGGCATACCTCTGAGCCAGCCCACTATGAGTGGGGATTTCCCTGGGTGGCAGGTTACCATCCCAGGCTGCTCTCCAGAGGGATCTGCTGGAACCACTCTGTAGGGCACATGCAGGAGTTCCCACAGCTGTGGGACACTCTTTCTGCATTGATGCAGTTAACAAATATTGAGTTTGTTGACTGAGTAGGTCTATAAAATAGATGGTTGGTTACATATGTTTAGGTAACCTCCTCACTCTGTTAAGAGTAGGAATTTGAATTTTTTTTTTTTTTTTTTTTTGGTGGGGGGAGTGGGGGGTGGAATAGATATCAAATAAACAGACTGATTTTGAAGATTAAAGCTTATATACCTTATTCCTTGGTTAACTTTGATTTTTCCTTTACTAGGCTTGCCCACAAGTCAGTATGGATGTCTGTGCTTTAAGAATACAGCTTTTCATAGGCTTGAAAGCTATCTGTCACTTTAAAAACCACATTATACTCTTGACCAAGGCAGACCCTGAGGCCATTCCAGAGAGAAGAGAGTCACCCAAGAGGCTTCTGTAAGTATCCTCTGGCCTCCAAACATTCCTGCCAAAGGTGCAGGAGTAAATTGTAACTTGTATATTTTGTATGTCTTAGTTTACCTTTTTTAAAATCAAAACTTGGAATGATCAGATGGATTTTCTATGGTGTTCTTTTTCCAGTGGAAGAAAAGGTTTTAACAATCTCTATAATATCCTTTATAATTGACCTTGGAACTTTTAGAAGAAAATGAATCATAAAATAGTTGCAGTAAAAATCAGTGGTGTTTTAGATAAGCTAAAGGACATGCTTTTCTGTGTAATGAATAGGAAAGACAGAACCTGTAATACTAATCCAATCTACAAGGCTATTTACTACTTTTTTTCTTTCACCTTTCAGTAGTTACATTTTTATCCAAAGATTATTTCCTGGTATTGCAAAAAAATTAATAATGCATTTCTTACCTTAAAGCACATTCATAATCTTCAGATATATGCTGATCTACCTTAAAATAAAATTGTATTTTGATAACATTAACCTCTGGTTAACTCTTAGGTCTGCTTTCATGTTGTTTAGAATAGAATGCTTAATTCCAGACTACTCATGCTTCTATTTGATGTTTTCTGTACTGTTAACTTGGTGGTAGGGAGTGCAATCCAATTCGAGCATTCCTCTAAGGAAAATTTAATCAAGAAGGAAATCTATTTGGAGGAGAAATGCATGTAGTGTATTTCAAGTCCAACATGTTTTTATTTTTATTTTTATTTTATTTTATTTTATTTTCATAGCCTTTTGCATAAATAGTGCTCCACAGTTGGTGATTTTTATCATTAATGTGATTATGTTTGCAAACTTACAAACTGTTCAGTGCATGTAAATGAAAGATTATTGTTATATTTAGCATGATATGACTTCACTTGGTAACAAGATGAATATTAAAAGAAAAATATAAGCAGGAAGAATAGAATTGGGTTTTTTTTTTTTTTTATTTATTTTTATTTTATTTTTTTTTTATTTTGTCAATATACACTGTATATGATTATTATGGC